ATAACCGGAAAACATATATTATTTGTTTAAAATGTACTAAAAATTTAAAAAAAAAAAAGAAATTATTATTGACAAGGAAAAAAAAAAAGTATTTATTGAAATTGTAAAATTAACTATTGCTAGGTGTGAAGTCAGGGAAAAAAATTAAAATTAAATGGAAAAGTGAAAATAAAAATTAATTTAATAGTTTTGCAAGGAATAACAATGTGATAAAGGAATCAATTTTATAATTTAAAAGTTAGAAATCAAAAAATACAAAAATTGTTGAATGCAATGCTATTATCATTCTTTTTACTTGAAAGCTTTATTCAAATGTATTTTAATTTTAAATTTAATCAAATTTTTCGATGAAGTTAACGAAAAAAATCGATTAATTTCTTTGAAATTGATTAAAATGCATATAAAATGATATATTTATAAGAATAGAAAGATATTAATGAAGGACAGATAATGAAGAAGCGATAAGGAATAGATAAAAAAAAAAGAACAAACTGATAACAATTTAACTTATCACAATATTAGATATAATTTGAAGTAGAATTAATTGTATTAAATATTTAAATAGAAATCAGAATTAATGGAATGCATTAGATTTTAAGCTACAATTTTTTTAAATCTGAATTAATAAAATAAATTAAGTTAAATCATAGTTTCTTCAACTGGGAACGTTCTTCTTGAACAATTTAAGTTTGCAAAGAAAATAAGTTGTTGTGATTGCTAAATGATTAACAGACGCTTTTTTTTTTAATATATTAAAAAAATTAAAACTTTACAAATTCGAAAATCATCTGCGTAGTATGTTTTTTTTTATTAATTTTGAACTAAATTATCAGTTAGATTAATGAAGATTTTAACAATAGTAGCAATAAATTTTTTAGTAATTAACATTTTTGTATTTCAGATTTTAATATTTTATGGTACCATTGAAGAAGAATAAAGTATTTCCGGCATAGTATTAATATTTGTGAAATATTAAATCTATTTTCTCTTTTTTTTTTACATACATTTTCTCTTTTAATTTGAAATTATTTGACAATTTATTAAATTAATAGTTTATTCTAGTTACTGATATGAACCTACAAATTGCCTATATTTGAATCCTGAAAAATTATAAAAAAATTAAAAACAGTAGTTTAGCTTATCTTTCTATACCGTTTTCTTTTTATTTATTAAGTCATTGATAAAAATTTAATGTCTAATGAATTGATTAACTTGTGAACAATTAAAATTTAAAATATTTGAATCAAAAGATAAATATTTGAGAAACACGTGAAGTGATAGTAAACAGAGCAATTCACATTGAATACGAATAACCTAAATTTGTTTCGAGGCGATGAAATCGTTTTTATTGAAAATGAAATAAACACAAAGATAAAGGGGGTTATATCATAAAAATAAAAAAAAAAAAAAATTTGGTGACCATTTTTTTTTTTTCAATAATTTGTCAAATAATATGAAATTTTTGAAATTGAAAAAAATTGATTTAAAAAAATTTTTTTTGAAATTTAAGAAAAATTTTTTTTTTTTTTGAAATGTGATGCTTTTTCGCAGTTTAGTAGTTAAAATTTCCTATCTTATTACTTCTTTCATACTGAATCTAGCTTTATATTTAATTTCAAATCAATGATAATGTTCAAACCAAAAAATGGTTGTGTATAAATGTATAAGTTTACAAAAATTAAAGAACTTTAGTTTCTCAAATGTAATATTTAAACAAATTAAATTTTCCAAATAGAAAAATTAAGAAATTTCAATTCACTAAATTTTATTTCGTATACTAAAATTAATTTGTGAAAAATATTGTAAAAAATTTCTACCTCTTAGTTTGAATAAACGATTGTAGCGATGCAACCAATTTCATTTTATATCAATTTCAATCAGTTCACATCTCACTTATCAATTATATCAATGAAATTTGAAAACATCATGATAAATCACTTCTAAATTTATTATTTTATTTATATTTTTCTATCATAATATTTTTGATATCTTCCGTAGAATTTTCAAACAATTCCTGATACATTCCTAATTGTTTATCATATTTATCTCATCAATCATTTAAGCCACTTCAAAAAAAAAAAAAAAATGAAATTATATATAATTTGACAAAGCAAGGAAAAAAATTTTCTTCAAACTGAAAAAAAATTCAAAAATTTGCGTTAAAAAACTTGAAAAATAAGTTTGAAAAAAAAAAAACAAAAGAAAAACAAGAGAGAGAATTTTCCACAAATTTTCACAAAATATCTATAGTACATGGTTTCAAAAAAATTTTTAAATTACAAAAATTATAAATATTTCCGCATGAAATTTAAAAAAAAAAAAACTTTTTTCTTTCCTCTTTTTTTTTTCTTTTTGTTTAAATATTTGACCTTTGTCTATTTCACACATTTTGTTTTTATAATTGTTTCAATGTTTTTTTTATCCACAATTTTTTCAATTTGTAACATTAATATCTGCCAATAAGTAAACATTGTCATTTTCGCAAACAATTAATTGCTTCCAATTAATTAACTCTTTTTTTGCAAACATCAGTGACTACCATGTGCGCACAGTAACATGTGATTTCACGACAATATTCATAGATTTTCATGGGATCATAAATCAGTGATCAGGGATGATCGATTGCATGTGAATTTTTACATATTTATTAGCAGGACAGGTATTGTAACAATCAATGATAATACAATGCAAATACCGTAGTGCGGTCGAACCATACTGTAACCATTGAATACAGTACGACAGTTACAGAGGTACTGTAGTAGCTGTTGGTCATATAAAATCTAAACGAATATTTCAACAGTTAATGAAAGTAATTAATGTTGTATAAACTAAAACTGTAACAATCAGTGATGTACACATGTTATTTATCATTCATAAAGTATAAAATGGCTGAAACGAGAAAATCAAGAAAATATTTATTAATAAAATATAATTATGATGTAATTATACGATCATATAATCAAAGAAATAAAAATGATTATGCTAGCTATTATTTTATACATTACACGTATTCCTATCATTTTGAAAGTTTATTTGCTACGCAATAATTAGCTAATTTTGCATTTTTACCTTTGTATCATATGAACATATTATAGCTTTTATAAAATGTTAATGAAATATACTGATTTATTCCAAAATTTCTTATTTTAATCAATTCAGATATGGTTAATCGTTAATGTAATAATAAATCAAAGAATATTTTGATCGGCTTATTGTATGCTTTGTCATTAAGTGGTGCAATAGTCTTTTTCCATTCACTTTCTATGGTTAAGTAAATTATTATTACTAATATTATTGCTATTATTGCTATCATTATTATCATTGTTATTATTATTATTATTATTGTTATTAATTATTATTATTATTACTGTTATTAGATAATTATTGTTATTCGCTAACATTACTTATTCCAAAAAGTGAAAAGATGAAATAAAACACTAAGTATTACAATCAATAAGGTTTATATTATAAAATTTGTCGCCGAATTTTGCTATTTCCATTACGTCTTACAACATAAAGTAACATTAACATTCTACAACTGGTTTTATTTATGATTATTTTGCTGTAATAATAATTCCTGCTAGTATTTAGTAATAACTACGCAATCAAAATATTTCATTTGCTCGCCTTTTCCTTTTAATGATAATTTTTTATTTAAATAGATAGAAGTTGCTTTGTGCTATTAACTGTGGTTCACAAATGTTCTAGTATTATAAACTACTTATAACTATAGCTAATATAAAATAAAATTATCTGCTGATACTTACACATTTAATTTTTATTTAATATCACTAATTTTGCCTTATTAATAAATAATGATTAATAAAAAAAAAAAAAAAAAAAGATAAATTGTTTTCTTGATTTTATTTCATATGTGTTATAACAGATAATATTTACTAATTAGAAAGATGAATGATAATGTTGAAAACAATAGTAAAATTGCAATCATTCTTTTGATTAATTCACCGATTGAAGTTAATCATTTGTTTAACATCCAATTCAAATAAAAAAATCTATACAGGACACATTGAAAACAAGATAAAACAAAACAAAATAAAAAATAAAAATGTTGCATATAGAATTAACAAACGCTTTAATAATAGTTTAGCATAAAATGTGATTCGAAATAATAAAACTAAAAAAATATTTGCCTGAATTATTCAGTATGGACATGAAAGTTTCAATTAAACGATGAAATTTGATTCAATTTTACAAAAAAACAAATACATGATATATATATATTTTTTTAATGCTATAACAAATTTTATTTGTAACTAATACTTTATGCGATTATTTTATTCAGCAAAAAATGTATATCATTAAAAAAATTGTTAGAATCAAGCAAAAAAAAAAAAAAAAAAAACAAATTGATTGATAGAAAAATCAATCAGAATGAATGAATTGATTAGAGAATGATTGGTGTAATAATCAGCTGTTATTCGAAACAATAATATTTTATTTAAACAACAAATTTTTCTCTCTTATAAATGCAACTGAATTTTATTCACTTGTTTTTTGAATTAAAAACAAAAAATAAAAAACTATAAATTTTATTCCCACTATTACTATTATCATTACTGTCGTTAATTTACGGCATGAAATTAAATTAGTTTGCTTTTTTGGTCACTTATTGAAAATAATTATAAGTAGAAAATTTTGCATATTTTGAAAAACTTAATTCATTCCTTTGTTTTGACATATTTTTCAATTCTTGTTGTCATGTTTAGTTTAAGACTTAATTCAAGCATTAAAAAAAAAAAAGCAAAAAAATATTTAAAATTTTAAATTTAGATTTTAAAGTAAAATTTTTGAAGGTATTTATTCCTAATGTGTTATTTTTTGCATTATTTTGTGATTCTATTACTGCTTAACAGAAAATATTAAAATTTATTGTTCTGAGTCTCGTCTAGATAGAATACATTGCTAATGAAATTTTATAATATTAAAATTCAAACTAAATTTTTGCATCATTATTTCAGAATTTCATTAATTGATTTCAGATGCTTAAAATGTTATTTGTGATAGCATTGTTTGCAGTAGCTAAAGTATCTCTATGTGAAATTACTTGTAAAGCTCCAAATGGTACCGAATCGAATTTTGTTTGGACAACTTGCTCAGATGGACCTATAATATATCATAATATAACGCTCATGGATGAAAATTGTTTGTTTACTTTATTAAAAAAGAAAAAATGAAATAATTTTTTGCTAGAAGCATCAATAATTCTCGAATATGCATCAATATTCATTTTATAATAAGATTAACAATTATACTTCATTGGATATAAAATTTTCATTCATTTGTACACGGATTTAATAAATTATTGTTAATAATTATTATCTCCTTACTTGCTTTTGTATGAAAATATTATTTTTTCTTTTTTTTTTTTAAACTGATAAATTGATTAGAAATGAATTTTTTTTTTTATTTTTACTTTGGAGACAAACTTAATTGCAGTATAATTTGAGTAAAGCTTTTTTAAAAAAAAAAAAAAACGATGATTTTCTTTCTTTTTTCATAAAATTGCAAAATTTTCAAAATAACTTACCAAATTTGTAAAATATTTCAAATCTTCAATGAAAATAGAAAAGGAAAAATAAAAAAAATATTTATTTACAGATAATGAAAGATATCCAATCATTGCAATAAAACCATTTATTATATTAGCTAATATAACAAATACCGGTGAACAATATGATAATTTGGAATCATCTATCAAACTATACAAATGGGGAGGATGGCTTGGCTGCGGATGGCATCGAATTCCAACTTTTGGGATACTGTAAGCTACAGTAATGACATCTACCATGTCATCATAATCATTATATCACAGTCAGATTTCAAAAATTTATTGTAGTGCAAATTTTTAAATTGTTATCAAAAAAACAAAAAAAATTTTTTTTCGTCCCGAATGTTAGTTAAAATTTGAATTTTACTTTAGAAAATTACTTTCAGTGATAATTTGGTGCAATGCAATAAAAGCATTCGATGTCCAATAAAACCTGGGAAGCAAGAATTACCAGTAACGCTTGACTTGAGTGAATTTCGATTCTTTATCAAAGTACTTCCGGATAATATACCATACAGGATGCAAATTGAGATTGGTAATCAAGAAAAGAAATTATATTCATGTATTGATCTTTGGTCTATAATAAGATCCCGTAGTGATCCTCATTGATAATTTAATTATTAAATTTGTTCATATCATGCAATGTTTCATAACAATTTTAGCTATATAAATAAAACAATTTAATATCTCAATATAATAGAATTAATTTAAATTTAAACGCTTATGGCACATTCAGTATTGAGGTCTAATTAAAGCGAATTAGACTTGGATTCATTCAAATTACTTAAATTCGAATTAAACTTACATTAAGCATGCCAAGCATCTCTAAAAAAAGAAAGAATTAAATGTCAAATAAATGATAACTAAATTCGAATTTTCGTTTTCTATTTACATGGAATTGTAATATGCATAATTTTTCTATGCTGTTTCGTGTGAAAAAATAGCTTTCACTTTGATACTATGAAGTAATTTTCTTGCTTTACTACCAAATTTGACTTAAATTCAATCTTTCTACAAAATTTTGATTCCAAATAGAAAAAAAAAGGATCTCATTAGTGGTAATATCATTAGTACTTTTAGAAAATGAAATCATTCATAATATAGCAAAAATACAAAAGTTAATTTTAATGATTTTGTAATTGAAGTTAGATAGAATTTAAACGCTCAAAAATTTGGTAATCTTAAGAGATTTTAATGGATTTTGGTTTTTTCTTATGAGATTAGAGACTCAAGTAAAACTAAGACATGAAAAGATATGTAATAATTTTACAGATTGGCTAAATTCAATCATTCCTGAATATATAAATTTATGTATTTTAATGTTGTAACTGTTAATGTGTAGTTTGATTGTGCAATTCATATACTTTCATGTATTTGAATTCCGGACAATATGCAAGATATTAGCTATTAAATCATTCCGTTTAATCCATCTATTCAATCGGACAGTAGTTCTAATCATATGAATCATTTATGATTTAAAACTCACTGAAAAAAAAAAAAGAAGAAACATATGTTATTCATAAATTGGAAGGTTTTATATTTATTTATTAAATGTTATTCGTAAATTTTAATTACTATTTGGAATTTTATAAAAGTTTTTCAAATTATTTTCTTGATTACTTTAACATTTTTCATTACTTATCATAAATTTTCAAGATTCGTTGATAATATATTGTGTGGATAAAAAATAATAAAGTTATTATTCCATTAGTGAACTTCATAAAAGGTCAACCCATAAGGCAGATATCTGACCTTAAACACGACCAGACATAAAGTTTCATCCCATAGCTGCTTCCTTTGTTTGCAACTTGGGCATAAGCCCAGCCACTGGATTTTAGCTTCCGGGCGCATTTTGTATGTCCTCAAGGAGATATTGTGCCTTACAGTCGTCCAGATCTCATCACTCTCTAACTTCATCAAAAGCATTCTATCTTGCAAATCTCATCACTCTCTAACTTCATCAAAAGCATTCTATCTTGCAAATCTCATCACTCTCTAACTTCACCAAAAGCATTCTATCTTGCAAATCTTATCACTCTTTAACTTCATCAAAAGCGTTCTATCTTGCAAATCTTATCACTCTCTGATTTCACGAAAAGCGTTCTCTCTCGCATATCTTATCACTCTCTAATTTCATCAAAAGTGTTCTGTCCTGCAAATTTTATCACTCATTTCTCAAAAAATACTAATCAGTTATATATTTTTATACGTTATCTTTCTATGTGATTATTTACGTACGTACATATCATTTATACGATTACTTATCTTTTTTTTGCGTGTGTTTTCACGTGTTTTGGAGGATTATAATGAATATATAGTATTACATTCATAATGTTAAAGATTCGGATTGGAAAACGTGAATTTTTTTTCTCATAAAACTCTGAAATAAATTTGCAAAAACGGAATAATTCATGATAAGATGAAGAAAAAGAACAGAAGAAATGTTCATGTCAAATGATGAGAAAAGATGATATTCCTTCCGGATTACGATTTTTCAGGATTTTAAAGGAAGTTTTTGGGTGAACAAATTGATTAATAGAATGCGTTCGAGAAGTGGTTCTAGTGTACGTTTGGACTGTTTGATGCATCTTGTTGAAGAGACCATTCTAAAATATCAAAATCCTGTTACTGGCTTATTCACCAATGACATAGAGGTATGGTTTTTCACAAAATTCTAAATTAAATTTCAAAACGGAATAATTCATGATGAGAATGAAGAAGAAAAAGAGCAGAAGAAATGTTTCTGGACGAATAACTTAGCATGATATAATTAAGTAATTGTTTGATTCCTTTTTTAATTAGCTGAATTATTTGCTAATTGTTTAATAATGAATTAAATGTTATTTGGTTATTGTACGTAACTTTTTGTGTGTGATGCTGATTTTGCAAATACTCAAGATTGGTTAGATAATTATTAGATGGCTGAAATTCAAACTGTTTCTGCTTCAAATTAAATAATTAACTATTAGATGAGACGCAGTTATTTGTTTTATTCTGGTAGGTTAGTTAAAAAATAAATTTACATTATCATATTCTGGATAACAGAAGTTTTTTCAAACAGCATATAGTATATTACCATTACTCATTTATGATGCATTAATAACTTGCTTTATTTCAGGTTATTTTTATTATTATGGGAAATGTAAAGAGTTGCTCTTTTTTTTTTTTCTTTGTTTTTTTATCTCCTTCTATACTTATTTATTATTTTTTCATATTTGAGGGTTCACCTGATCATGCTTGGGTGCGTGATAATTTATATGCAACTCATGCAATATGGGCAATGTATCGTGCATACCAAAAAAGTGCCGATGTAAACGAAGATCTCGCTAAAGCAAATGAATTAGGATTAACCTGGTAAATTATTTCATTGGACTAAAGATAGAATGTCAGTAATGATAAGTGTTTTGTTGTTTCATCGATTAGATTAACAGTCTAGCCATTTATTTGCTAACCATTTGGACATTCGGAAATATCACTGGCTATAATATTACGTATTAAATTTTGTGAAATAAACAGCATATAGCATTATGACAGTGATCTGATTAAGTATCATAATAACATTGTGGGAGTTTTATTTTCTTATCATCAGTTTCTTATCATTGTACATTGAAGTGCGCATTTTTTCATTACATTGGTTTGCATCATTTCTTTTTCAATAATTTTAGTGTGAAAACTATGCAGTCATTGTTGGAATGTATGATGCGTCAATCAAATAAGGTTGAACAGTTCAAATTATATCAGCGTAAAAATGATGCTCTTCATGCTAAATATTCAGCACAAACAAAGAATGCTGTTGTTGGTGATGATGAATGGGGACATTTGCAAATTGATGCAATATCACTCTTTCTACTAACACTAGCCCAATTAACGGCATCAGGTAAATGTAACCTTGAGAAGCATGAATTAGCTTTGAAGAAAAATTATAAAATTTTTTTGAGATTTTAATGATCTTATTAGTTTAGACGACAGCTTTAGTGATGAAATGGCAGCCCCGAATGTCAGTCAGTTTGGAAAATATATTTAACCATTATTATATTGGTTTGAAAGACATATTGGAATATAAATTAAGTGAACAAAAATATTACCCGCATTTCTGATTCTTTGTTCAGTTTTTTCCAGTTTATTATTACGTTTTTTTTTTTTATTATCAAAATATTAAATTAGTTACAACAAATAAGTATACAATATTGCAAGTTTTAGGACTGCAAATTGTTCGAAATTTTGATGAAGTTGCTTTTGTACAAAATTTGGTGTATTACATCGAAGCGGGTTATCGAACACCGGTAGCTGTTTTCATTTTTACAAATATGCATCAGTAGTGGTTTCGTTCAAGTACTTATGGAAAATTTTTCATTTACTGTTTTATTTTACTAGGAAATTTATTGACAATTCAATTGATGTGAAAATTTTACTCCAAAATTTTTTTTTTCGGTATGTAATTCTGACGTAGTATTCGAAATTAAAATCCATTTTTAGAATAAGAAATTAGTCCAGAGCTAACCATCGTTTGGTGGTCAGTTTTTGTCTGTTTGTTCGTTCGTCTTTTCTTTTTCATGTAATTTCTCTTATTATGAATAAATTTGAGGACTATGGTGTTTGGGAACGTGGTGATAAAACAAACCAAGGAATACGAGAACTAAACTCTAGTAGTGTTGGTATGGTTAAAGCGGCATTGCAAGCTCTCAATGATGTTGGCGATTTGTTTGGAGATGGTTCAAAAGGTTTTTCTTGATTTAAAATGTTTTCATATTATCGATACTTCGATTTATATCATGCATTCATGAATTGTTAAATTTTTAATATTTGTCAATTGACTCCATCTTTCTTTTCTTGCTTATTTTTGTAAAAAAGAGAAGAAGATAAGGAGACTATCATCTTTGAGGTTTGTTTCTTGTTTTAATCTTGCCAATTTTTTTTTTTTTTTTCAGGATCTGTTATTCATGTATTACCGGATCAAATTCAGCAATGTTCAGCTTTGTTGACATCAATGTTGCCCCGTGAATCATTTTCTAAAGTATATTTTTTAGGCTTTTTTTTTCTTTTGCAATTTGACTTCTCCTCATTTGTTTGTTCTCCTTATATTTGTGCAATTTTTTGCTAATTTAAGGATTTTTTTTTTCAAATGATTTAAGGAAACTGATTTGGCGCTTCTGAGTATCATTTCATATCCGGCATTTGCAGTGGAAGAGCAAAGTTTAATTCAACTTACTCGTCAAACAATCATTGATACGTTGCTTGGTCGTTATGGTTGTCGACGTTTTCTACGTGATGGTTACAAAACACCATTGGAGGCAAAACGAAAAATTTCTAACTAAAAATTTAGTAGTAAAAAGATGTCCTAAAGTCGTGAAATCGATCGTAGCTTAACTAACAGCAATATAAGATCTTTCTCCAAATAGCCGCCAGCAGTAGATCCATGTTGATAACTATAGAGTTTCGGTATTTTTTGATTTTTCAGGATCCATCTCGTTTGTATTATAACAATTCTGAATTGCAACAATTTGAAGATGTAGAATGTGAATGGCCTTTATCAATTTGTTTTCTCATGCTGGATGCTTTGTTTTCTCGTGACGATGTTATGGTTGAACATTACTGGACAATTATGCAAGATGTATGAAATTGTTTTTTTTTTTTTTTTTCTTTTTTTGACACCATGAATTTAGCATAAGTCTGATTTTCCTTTGCAAGAAGTCAAGAAGAAATACATTTAAAATTGACGATGTTTTTAAATAGTAGTAATAAAATTTGCCAAAGAGTAGTCCTTCGCAACAACCCGTAGAGCATTTCGTAGTCCGTAAAATAATCTACTTTAGTATAAATATTTGAGAAATAGTTCGAATTGAAAAGTTTCGGTTCACCTACTTAATCTCAACTTTAAAATGTCTGGGAAATAAAGTTCAATTTATTTGGATATTTGTTGCAATTTGCATTAATTGTTTTGAAAAATGAGGAGAAAAGGTTTCAGATTGTTATCAGTGACAATGGTTTACGACTAGTGCCTGAACTTTACAAAGTACCATTTGATAAAGTGGCGGAAGAAAAGCTACAACGTGGTAGCCAAGTTAGAGAAGCTTGTGGAGCAATGTAAGTTAAAAATTGTAAACTTTTTTGAGGTTATGATTTCTGAATATTTTCTGTCCACGTTTTTTATTTTGGTTTTTCATGGGTGGTAAATTTTTATTTGAAGGTATCTTGTGAATTCATTATGAACTTCTTTTTTGAAGATAAAAAAACTTGTAATGTTATTGATGCATGATGAAATTTACATCCTGGCATATTTACATCGCAGCAAATAAACATTGGAATAGTTTTATAAAATAATTTGAAATATCACCAAGTTTTTTTTAGACCATTTTTATGGGCACAAGCACTGTATATCATATGTTGCTTACTATATGATGGTTTTCTAACACCAGCTGAACTGGATCCATTACGAAGGCGATTATCAGCATATGAAAAACATCCTCCTTGCGAAGTTCAAGGTATCTTTTTAAATCATTTAATGTTATAATATAAAAAATCGCTTTATTAAGATATTAATCAAAAAATTTTCTCGCTGTCTTTTTTTATTCATTCATTTTGCTGTCCTGTTTATGTATTGTTTGAAATGTTTCATTTTGAATTTTAAAGTATCAATATTGGCTGAAACATATGAAGTACAGCAAGAACTGTTGGCACAAGATATACAGGTGCAGAATATTAGTGAAATTGATGAATTATTTTGCATTCAACCTCCATCTGTATTTGCTCGAATTCTATCAAGGTTTGCATTTTGTTAATTTTTTTATTTAATGTTACAGTATGAGAAATCAGTTAAAATTTATTTCATGTTTTATTAAACTTTGTGTTTTTCGAAATAATGGATGGATGAACTTTTCCTATTCCTCACTGATGTCATTGTAGAGTATTCCGAGAAGATGGAAATTCATTAACTAATATACATTAAAATATAATTGAATAAAATTATCTTTTGGGACATTCGTAAACAATTGGAAATAATTTAATTCATGGAAAGTAAATTTCACGAATTATGTTTTGTTTAAAAATTGATTTATCGTATTTTTTAATATTATTATTATTATTTTTTTTTTAGATTAGGAGAATCTGAAAAATTGGGACTCACCGGTCGTCCTTTGGATCGTGAGATTGGTGTACTCAGCACTAGTAAACTTTATCAACTGGGGCAAAAATTCGTCATTTTCACACCACAGGTAATAATCTATTCAAACTTTAAAGATATCGTCTATGCATGTGTTATTATGTTTTATTTTAGTTCTCATTCATGCACTGATTGATTTTTATCATAGAGTATACTCACGTGTAATGCGTTTCCTTTTTTAGTTTATGGATCAAAAACGTTCATATTTGATGTATGATATTCGAATTCTTATGAATGAATGGAGTTCAGAGCTTCAATATATATATAGCAGTTGGAATAACACGTCAGTATCTGGTCGACCATTAATTGTACTAATTGTTGCAAAGAATATGCTTGAAGCAGTAAGTTTATTTCTTATCATATAGTGATCTCATTTCACTATGGTTTGCTGTTCTTCCATAATTATTCGTTACTTTTAAACTTACTGTTGTACTTTTCCAGCTAATGATTCAATTTAAGAAATTTAATTCTTTATCGTTTAACACTCTACTCAAGATCAAAGATTTGATAATGAAGTATTATTCAACCAGGTAGAAATGAAAAGGTACTAGAGAAAAGGAGAACAAAAAGTGAAGAAAGAATGAGAAAAAGGAAAATAAATGATAACAAGAAATTATTTTCAACATAAAAGAAAAATGTTGTTTGTATGATCATGCAATGTACTGTTCTGATTCGTGCTTTCAGATCATAATGTGATAGCTTCTTTCATTCACTTTTCATTTAATACAAAGGATTTGTTCTTGCTTTTAGGATATGACACCAAGTGATAGTTCCTTTACTGATGTTCACATGAAAGCATCCGTTATAGGAACGATCAAAAAAATTGCAACAGGTTATATTGGTGGCGCAAGGTATGTTTAAACTACTCTTATTTCTACTAGTAAATTTTTAATTTCTGTTGATAAATACAGAAAAAGATTGATATATTACTGAAAGTGTTCACGATGACAACCAATAAAAATAATATGCGAGTGTTATTGAAATTAGTACCTGGACTAGATTTTAGGTTTAAAATTTAAGCAGTGATAAATCCTGAAACAGGAATTATAAGTAAGATTTATGGCCATATAAATAGACGCATAGTAAGTACTAGGCTGATGGATTTTTCAAAATGTTACTTCATACTATCAGAAGTGATTTGTTAGTGTTTTTTAATTCTGTTAGTAATTAATTGCAAATATGCGATGCAGTAAGTTTGCTAAAGCAAAGCATTCGTTTTTTATTTTTACTTCTTTTGTTTCAGAGTAGTCATGAAGAATATATCGGATTTTTTCCGAACCACAGCAGTTAGCAAATTGGAATTTTATGGGCATAATGCTGAAGATTTGATTTTTAAAGAAGAAGAGGGAGCAATGCATCGAAATCTACCATGTTCGAACGTTGATAATTTAAAACTAAGTATGGATTTTATACAAATAAAGGAAAGAATTCTAACTAAAGGCGTAAATTATTACTCTTATATTTTGCTTGTAAATTATTATACACGATTGATAAGCAAAAAATCCATGAATTTTCTAGACCAATTATGATAAATTTTGATTGTACACGAAATTTAGATATATCTAAAGTAGTATGTCTCCCCATTAGCTTTATTACAGAGAGTTTCATTATATCTCTGTGATAAATGATTATTCAATCCTTGGTGTAACAGAAAAATGAGAAAGTGCTGAGTATACTTCCGTTGTTGAAAAATGTCACATTTTCAGTTCATCCATTACAATCATTGCCTGAACAATTATCATTGAGAAGTAATGCTGAGCGCTATAGTATTGTATACAAAACTTCAATGCGACATCGTAGTATTATGATTGATAGCGATGATCAAGGTGATTTTATTTCAAAATGATTACAAATTAGTAATTTTAAAATTTACAGACAATTTTACCAGATAAAAAAGGTATTTTGTAATTTATTTCAGTACTTTAAATTTTTGATTTTTTCTTCAGTATTTCAATAAAGATAATATTATACCACTATTCGTTGAATCCCAGTAATGTAGTATTATTTCGTCTTGTTCTGCTGTAATGCTGATTTTATGAGCTCTTTTTTAGATCTCATCAAATTATATTTATCTTATGGTAAACAAGAACAAAGCAGTCCAAATTCAACAAATGATAAATGTCCACCTTTGAAACGTTTTTTATCACCTGAAAAACGTACTTCTACAGATGATTTGGTTTGTTTATTTATTGACTTGTTTTTTAACTTTTGATAGTCACAACTATTGTAAGTTAAAGCATGGTATTTTAGTTTTGAAAAATATACAAAGAAAAGCTTAATAAAAACTTAGTGAAATGCTTTAAGTTAGCAGTATAATGGAATCCACTTTTTACATAGTTTTTATATAGTTTGTCGTTTTATATAGTTTTTATACAGTCTATATAGTTTATATAATTTTGCATAGTTTATTGCAACATGATGGATTTTGAATTTGTAGAAAATCTGAAAAAAAAAAAAAAAAAAAATGAAATACAAAGTGTTTAGAGATGTCGTAGCTTGTTGCCTTTCATACCTCATAATGAAGCATATTTAATGTTATACATAACTGTTGTCTATCGATCTTAAAATAATGATCAGTTAAAATTGATCAATACCATTCATATACCAATATTTAAGATACGAACATCGTCAGCAGTATCTCTAAGAAGTACATCTAGTGGCGATTCAGAAAAAAAGTTAGTTTTCTTACTCTAAGATAATCTACGATAATTTTCTTACTCTATGATAATACCTTAAATTAAGGTGAATATCGGTCAACTACCATTATGTGTATGTATGGTATGTAATTATGTGACTATCGTTTAGTAAATGGTCAATAAACTAAAAATGATCAATGAATAAAATGATTAATAAACTAGGATTCTCAGTCCAGTGATCATATTAATACTAAATAAAATTAGAACAAGGTTTAATTGCTAATAAGTGATATTCCAGATTGGATACAGCACAAATGGACGAAATGTCAACAGCAGATTTGATTGATATGTTAATTGGGACAAGTATTTTAGATGAGCAAGCATCCATTGTTCATTATTTGTGGATGAAAAAGTATTAATATTTGAAATTTTTATATAATAATGTATCATGCAATTTTATATTCTCGAATGCATCCTATTCATTCTAAGATGATAGAGCATTTTCAACTCACAACAACAGACTTGGCACCATACAGATAAATAACTGTAATAGATTTTTTCATTAGTAAACATGCACTAAAATATATTAGTTTTGGTATGTTAATCTTGTTAAAATCTTATTAAGCATTATGAAAAAATTCCACGTAGTAATAATTTTAATGTTTCAGAGGACCTGATTTTGATACTGAGTTGAATAATATGAAAGGTGCAACCGTTCGAGCACTCATGGAAGAAATATATTTAAAGGTTCTCAATATTTGCATTAATTTTTTAGCATTTCAAAAATTTTTATTTGCTGGAAAAAGAATCAAAAGTGCTTCTTATAGAATAGAAATGATTCACTAAATATAGCTATATTATTCTTAACACTTTAATATATGTATATTAAATATTGTTTTATTATATTATTATTATTATTATCATTCTATATAAACCACAGTCGTACTATTTTTATGAATGCTGTAGAATATTTTCAGGCATGTGAAAGTCGTAATTGGTCTTTGATTCGTCTATCATTTGGATTGTTGAAACGTTTACTGGATGAATTATCCAAATCAGTAACTCATCTTTTAGTACGTCAAAAGCAGATCACAGTTGGTATGCCATCAAAGAATGAGCAAGCAATTACAACTCCAAAAACTAAAGAAGAATTGCATGAAATTTTTAAGCTTATCTATAACGATGACGCGAATAGTTATGCTTTGTCACAGGTAAAAATGTGTTTTTTTCTTTCAAAAATTTTATTTTCCAATGAGCAATGTTAAGATATAGTTCAAATAAGATTTAAGTGTTTTTTAAATTATATTGATTTATATGCCCTGGGAAAGTTAGTATTCGAATATTATTTACCCTACATAGTAGAGTTCGTTTGAGGGGATCGGGAGGAGGGTAGTTTGGTTTAGGCGGCAGTGTTTCTAATTGTCAGTTTAATGATCTTGGATCGATTTCTACAAGCGACTAATGCGCTCGTTCATCCACTGCACTGTTTTTCAAGTTCATGTGGTTCCATGTGGCGCAAGAAAATAGTTTAAATCACGGTTTTCGCTGACATCGTGCACTAATAGTGCTGACGTTTGATAGTAGACCGTGATATATTCAAGATTTATAATTTATATTTTAAAATGGAGGAAGAAAAAATTCATGTTGTGATTGTAACTAATTGGGAACTTTGTTTTTCTTTGATTTTTCTCGTTTTATTTTGTTCTTATCTTGCAGTTAGTGGTGTTGATAATCTGTTTAGCTTTAAATTAACTCAAATTACTATTCACTCACGGCATTAATAACAACAGTAATAGTAAATAATGTTAACAGTAAAATAATAATTATTATTAATTAAAAAGAAGAACAAATAGGTTTTGGTACAAAACGGTTTAAAGCAAAAAATAGTTCCAATGAGTCGATTTATCAGTTCTGATGTAGCATTTACAGAGTAGCGTTTTTCCAATTGATGCAAAAAAAGCATTATCCAATAGTTAGTTATCCGCAGTGTGTATTTAAGTTTACTGAAAATAAAATTAATGAGAAAAATTTTTAGATTATATTTGTATATTTCTAAGTGCTGCAGGAAATTATCGTTTGTCTTGGTTCATTGGTGTTAACGGAACCGCGTTTGTTTGTAGAAATGTTCAGAATACGTATTGGACTAATTATACAGGTGTTTTTATAATTTGAGATTATCAAAAATCTGTGATTTTTGTGATTTGTCAAAAAAAAAGAGAGATTATCAAAAATCTGCGATTTTTGATAATCTCTCTTTGGTTTGACAAAATTAAATGACTGATTCCTAATCATCGTGAACTTTAGAAAATTGGTACTTAATTATTTGTATATATATATATATTATATATAATATTGCAATATATAAAATATTGCAATTCTCTCCGGAATTTATCAAGCATTTTTGGTAATGTAATAAGTAATTTTAGCTTTTTCATTACTTGAAAATAAAAAATTTTTTTCTTTTTTCCAATATTTTATGTAATTTTATGAGTAAAGATTTATTTGTATGATTTAATTAAGAAATTGAATTAAATTGGATCATTTGTTGAAATATGAACAATTAAATTATATGATTGTTTCAGGTATTAGCCAGTGAGCTGGCTCGTTTTAGTAGTATCAGTGGAATTGATGCGACACAGAAATTATTTCAACTTTCACCATTTCAAGTAAAATCAATGCTGTTATTGTTGTTAAGCGGTCGACTTCTGGAAGATTTTAGTATGGGTGCCGAATCTGGTGCAAAAGAGCAACGTAGTGGTTTGGGTTCTATAAGAAAACAAATCGAGGAACGAAAAGTAATTTTCATATTTTATGAAGTCTTTTTTTTTTTAATTTTGCTTCGAAAACACTGTTTTGAATTTTGCAAATCTTCAAACTAAAATTCTAATAGATAATATACATTACATATCTATTGTTTGACACATATAATTGTAGTCACGGAGATCCATGATAGTGAGTGATAGTACTATGGATGTTGATATGAATGCATTGGCTCCAACTGATTCTGAAGAAATAGATGTTGACGAAGCCGAAAATTTCCAATTCGGTATTTGGCTAAGACATCGTCGAATTGATGGAGCTTTGAATAGGGTTCCACCTAATTTTTATGCAGTATGTTTGATTTTTTTCCAATTTCTTTTTAAATGATATACAGATTAATGAGAACCCATAAAGGAAAATTACGCGTTTTCTTTTTTGTTTTGCTCTGTCGAATTATTAAAAATTAATCGAATAAAGTGCATGGAATATATGCTTCTTGGAATAAAAATTTACTCTTATCATTAAAATTCTTTTTTTTTTTTTTTTTGAAAATTTGCTCTTACATTTGCTCTTATCATCGATGCGTAACGATTTAATTTCTTATAGATGTTGTGGGATACTGTACGGCGTTTTCCACGTGGTCTGTCAATCAATCATATTGTTCTGCATTGGGGTGTCACACAGGAGGTTTGCTAATTTCACTATTTAATAAGAAAAAAAAAAGGAAATATTCGATTTTTTACGAGTATTGGAAATTTATGCGATCGAATTCCAGTTCAGATACGTTATTGAAATAATACTGAGATTACAACTATGCGAAGTAGAGAGTTGTCTATCCACGAATCAAGTGACGACAATTGCTGAAAGGTTTGCAAAATTAGGCAATTGAATGGAAAACTGAAATAAAATGAAACTCCTCAACATCAGCCTACTTTTTATCATTTTCAGATGACACGTAGAGAAATCAAATTTGCGTTACAAGTTGAGGAAGTATTAAATCAGGTTTGCATCATTTTGATTTCGTTTTTATTTGGCTCATTATATTCAGTATTTTCGAGTGCTGAAAGTTAAAGCGCACTTTAAGCAGATTGAACCAAACAACAGTTCATGTAAAAAATTCTTTCATACGAAACTATCCATATATAGCTATTTTTATCTTGAAAGAATAGTGATTATTTGTGTATTTCACGAAAAGTGAAACTTTTTTGGATTAGACGAAAATTATTTAATAACAAATTTAAAATAACGATGAAATTTAGGAAAGCAGTGTTATTGATCAATGATGATAATATCATGTTGATTAAATAGACTGAATGGAGTTAGTTAGCGTAGATGCTATGAATTTTTCATTGATTCCCATAAATTTTTGTAAAAAAAAAAGTGCAAAAATATTTTAGATTGCTCAACCCGAATATCGTGAAATTATGATAGAAGCTTTATCACTTTTAAGCAGAATGGATATATTATTGAAAACTGACAGTCCCAATATACCTTATGATCAATCGTTTGTAGTAGATTCTATACTACGCAGAGCAAACGAATTATTTGTTGAGCATAATGTTAGTTTATTATCTTATTAAGACTGCTTAGTTAATACCATTTTATACGATAGGAATTTTCAAATTTTAATTATAATTTTTGGCTCATTTTATTCGTTACTATAGTAATTTTATTATAATTCATTTATTTTTAACAATCTAACAATGTTGGAAACAATATACACTAAATTGTCATTAAGCTTAGTGCATATTGTTTCCAGTAATTCGATTGTTCATCAATTTGGAAATTGATAATTTGATATTTAAAATCTTACAAATCATGTAATGAACTTTTAAATACTGTCCATCGTAGGCTCTCGAATAGTAAGTATAAACTTTAAATACTAATATAGTGAAGCAATTTTTTGAAGTAACTTCGTTTAATTTTGGTCGCTGATAATTTGAATCTTTTTTGCATATTTTCTGAATGCATTACACTAAGCATGGCTGACAATTTTGATAATAATAAATTAATAAGGTAATAAGATTATCTTATTCTGACAGAAGAAAATGGAAACAGTTGTAATGGAATGTTGTGGATCTGGGAAGCGTTGTGATGGTGCTCAAGGAATGTGTCAATATTTCTATGATTCAGCTCCAGCTGGTGAATATGGTACAGCTCATTATCTGATAAAAGCTTTAATGGATATTTTCATTTTATAAACTTGGAAATGTCATTAATTTAAAAATTGTTTGACTCGTTATTCAATTAATTCGAAATTTGGCTTGCTTTAACAAGCTCTTAGATTCAATATTAGCCTAATAAATAAGCTTCAAAAAGTAGATATTTATAAGTAAATATCACTAAAATAAGTAAGTATCACTGAAATACCAACTTTGTTTTGTATTTTTATATTCAGTAATCTATGCATCATTTAAGTACATATTTCATTTTCCACTCAGCTAGTCTATTTTTTTCTGATTAAAGATGTTTGATTCTTTAGTTTTCCCTTAATTTCTTAGCTCTGCTGCGCCGACAAAATGGTTAAATGAGAATGAGCTTATTCATACTTCCTTCTCTTTTTCTTCGAAAAATTTATTCATTATTTCTTGTTTTTTAATCCTTCATATATTAACTTATAACGGTTATTTGATTTTTGATAATATTTTTTCCTTTGTTCTTGACAATTTCTTATTCTAGATAGTTTTATCAATTTGTTAGCTCTATTTTGTGCCATTATTTTGCTATTTTCATGAAATCATATATTACTATTACATTTACATTTACATTTCTTTTGATGCCAAAAGAAACTATTTGTAATTGAGTGTTTTGTTGTTTTATTTTATTAGTGATAATTATAGTTAGCTGCCATAAATTTGTGCCTTTTCATTTATTTATAATAGTGCCTTTGTTTTCCTGAGATTCAGTATGCAATTTAGATGAGTTTAATTGTTTTCTAGTCTTTTTTAATATATATATTCAAATATTTTTGTTTAGAAATATTTGTAATTGTGTATACTTGTATATATGATAAAATTTAGTTACATATACATTGTGAAATGTCTTGAAACGTTTAGATCTTATGATAAAAATTCAGGTATTTGCACAAAGAGAAGGGAAAAAAAAAAAAAAAAAGAAAGGATATGATGCAAGGAATATGAATATATCGATAATTATATATAATTTTTCGAGAGCAACTATTGCTTATATTGTAAGTTTATTATACTTTATATTTGCCTTTTAATATTTGATTGAAAAAGTTAAATGTAAAAATTGCTTTTAATTCTCGCGCATAAATGTTGATATCATCTGAATTGGTAGATATCAATAATAGAATTATGGAAATAACATGTATTGTTGACATCAATGTTTAACAATGTATTAGTTTTGCAAATGGTTAATTTTAAAATAATTCATGGATGAAATGAATCAAAGATTTAAGCAGTATGGAGAAAGATCCGGTTGGTTAATTATGTTTTCCTGATTGCTGATTAGAGGTAGTGAGGATTCAGATTGATGCAGAAGTGTTCTAAAATAATTTATTTAATTTTTGATTTAGTCCTTGCCTTGCCGATCTTTTTGAAGTCAAGAAATGACATACGGGAATGAAATTAAGAAAAGATATAAAGACAAACGATTGTCAAGAAGGAGTGACAAGATTTGTGAGAGAGAGGGAGAGAGAGAAGAGAGAAAGGGCGAGAGATAGAAACATCAATCAACCAATAATCATTATTTGATGTCCTCTTTGTGTGTCACATATATTTTTGCGGGAATGATAATTTCAAATATATTTTACTTTAGTACAAACACCAAAATGGCTCTTATTTTATAAAGCCTAGAGTTAGGTAAAAAGCCTAGGCCTAATTGTGAGTGTAACTCTACGGCTAAAGGTATTTAATTTAAGTTTTGAATTAGGCTTAGCAAAAATTTTTACGATTAACTTTAACTTCTATATTCCAAACAGTAATTTTTTTACTTTCACATTTTTTTTTTTTAAAAAAATCTCAATTTTTATTCTGTTTCACTTGCAAGTACATATGTAGTAAAATTTAGTAAAAAAAAAAAAATTTTTTTTAAACAAAGAATAAGTGATTTATGTTAGTAGAACTGTTTGACCTTGAAAGTTGTTCCAGAAATTCTTCCTTTTATCGTTCAATTGAAATTTTAAATTTAGCTAAAATTTTTTAATATTAATTTCAATCTTTGTAATAGTGTTTACCTTTGCATATGCTTACCTTTGATTGCTATTTTAAATCTATGACTTCATTTTTACTTTATATTAAATCTGTATATGTTTCATTGATACTAATATATCGTTGAATAGTATATGTTTGCTATTTAATACTTAAGGGTACTTAATATTTTGCTATTTAATGCTACTTAATAGGTGATAATTATTTTTTTTTTTTTTTTTTTCACAGATTAGATTTTTTTTTTACAGACTATTTGTTGTTTTTAAAGAGATATTTTTCAGGCATGGCAGAATTTTCGTTTCCATTTGAGCCATATGATATTCAGGTATCATTAATGCGAAGTATTATTTCGTGTATTAATGAAGGAAAAATTGGTATATTAGAATCACCTACAGGTACGGGAAAATCTATGAGCATTATTTGTGCAACGCTTACTTGGCTAGAGACATTTGAAGCAGAACGGAAAGTAAATCTCGAGAAGCAACTGAAAACAGTTGAAGATGTTGGAAAAGGTGAACTAAGTTTTAGAAAGTTAGTGGTATTTTGCTGCTTACAAGCAGTTTTATATAATGTTAATCATAAGTTTGAAGATATATATATTTTTATTTTTTTGATTGCATGCAATATTATCTACTTAATTTAAGTTTCTTGCCATATATGCTGTTTTGGATGATTTTGACTTCTCACAATTTTTTTCATCCACTCCAAAAAATACTTTTTTTTTTCCGTTAGGAAAGAAAAAAAGAAGTAGTTTTTTAATTTATAGAGTTTTACATATTGCTGAATGAAATTTATCTACCAGAAAATTTATTAAAATCTAGGGAAGAAATTCTGAGTGATAGTAGTCATGTTTTTTATCAGGTAATAAAGAAAGATAAGCTTGAGATAATCCAACTATGTATAGCATGTGGTGATTTAGATCAGCGTAAGATCAGGCATAATTTATTTCCAATGAAGTTTGATGACTGGATGTATTATAGATGATGATTGGTTGAATGCTCATATAAAGAAAGTTAAAGCTGTCGAGGATGCGAAGGAATTTTACAGTGAGCTTGAAAACGATCAGAAAATAGAAGAACGCATTCAAAAAGCATTAAAAAATTTAACAGTTGAACGAAAGCGAAAATTATTGAATGATGAAGATATTGAGGGAAAAAATGATGATGATGAAACAGATGATGTAAGTCATAATTTATTTATTTTCTGATAGATTTTGAAATTCAGAAATATACTCTTCTGAGTTATTCAATTACTTACTAACAGTCTATCAAAAGGTTCGAGGAAATTGTTCGAAACTATAAGGATTAGATTTGATACGAGTTGTAGGGGATGACATATACTTAATGGTGGAGAAGCTTGATAAATGTAATATTTTTTGTTTAGATACTGGATGAAGATTTTACAAATGATCAACTTGCAAAGAAAATTGAAGAGCCAACTCCAACCTGTACAAAGGTAATTTATGCTACACGAACACATTCTCAGTTGCTGCAATTTGCTGAAGAAATCACGAAAACACGGTTATCTGTTTTTTTTTTTTTTGTTTTTTTATTTTAAGATGCATCATGTTGTGAATTACTTAGCATACTAATCAGTCTACTAAGATAATCTCGGGAAGTTGCATTTCAAAAGAATTATTAGAGAAATAGATACTTTGCATGCAACAACGATTAAATATTGTTGGTGGCTGTTTTTCAGATTTCAACCAAGAGTGGTAACGTTGGGATCGAGGCAACATTTATGCATTAACGAATCGGTTCGTGCTTTACAGAAAACGAATCTTATGACAGAACGATGCAATGAATTGCGTGATAACAAAGCATCGGAAAAACGCCAGAAAGATGACGATGATAAAGTATATTTCATTTTCTTTTCTATTCACTTCATTCAGGAGCTCGATTAATTCAACATTTTAAATTTTAACTTGTATCTTAATAGTATAATACAATTGTTTGAACAAAGTTACACAAGCTCAAAACTCAGACATATTTTTATCTTCAATATATTGCTAATACTATTATCAATTAAAAACTTTATGAAACCAGTAATATATTTTATCATCACCCGATATGTCTTTAAAAATTGTGATATCAGTTTCATTTAATATATCAGTTAATGATTAAAATAATTTCATTTAATATATCAGTTAATGATTAAAATAACCAAAAAATTATATTCCACGAAGGCTGTTATCATATTGGGCCTGCATCTTTTATGCGAAAATTACTTAATTACTATGAGAATCATTTGAAACTTGAAACTTCTGATTTGAAGACAATTGCAGTATGTGGCAAAAGCATGTAAAGGAAGTTGTCCATTTGCAAGAAGTGATGCAATCGAAGATCTCTGTGATCAAATTCTTGCATCAAAGTTATCAAGTACACCGCAGTTAGTTGATTATAGCAAAAAAATCTCAGCTTGTCCGTACTTTGCATCACGCAAGTCAGTAGCTTATTCACAATTAGTGCTTCTACCATATCAAGTTAGTCTCGTTTTTGGAATTTTCCTTTTAATGTCTTCATTTATAAGTCAGTGCTTAGTTGTTCTCTCTTAATCGTTTTATTGAATATATTTGAGGTTTATATTCTCATTCAAACAAAAGAATGCTGTGATGACAAATAATATAAATTTTATGACAAATAACATAAAATTTCAATCATCAATCCATAATTATGTGCTATAGTATAAACATATTAGAAAATTTTTTTATCTAGTATAGTTATGAATAAGTGATACAATATTAATACTGTCACTTCGTAAAACATGTGCTGAAAGATATAGTATGATAACTTCGAAACAGATTTCAAGCGACGATGTTTGAACTGCAAATAGTTTTAGCAGTAAGTTGCAGATTTTATTTCAAGAAGAAGCACGAAAAGCTTGGGGAATTGAATTGAAGGGTAACGTTATCGTTATTGATGAAGCTCATAATTTACTAGAAACAATTACGAATTCACATTTTGTTACGCTACACGCAAAGGAATTGAAATCTGTGCTTTCAACATTAGAGTAAGCAAAATTATCGATTTCTCAAGCGTAATAATAACATTACATACTTTAGAAGTTGATAAAACCAAATCATTTTCTTACGTGTATTTTCTTTTGTAATTATACAAAGTGAAATATTAAGAAATTCTTATTTTATTTAATCCACAAACTCTAACAATTAAATAATTACAAATATTTTATACGTTTCACAGTTATATAATTTACAAATGTATTATTTATTTTTCTAGTGTTTATCTAAATCGTTTTCAAAGTCGACTGACACCGGTGCATAAGAAATATTTGCGGCAGTTATCGACCATTGTAGATTTGTTATTGGCGTATATGAATCATGCATTAGATAAGAATAAAGATTTTGTTGAAACAATGACGTCATTTGCTGGTAAAGTATGTTGATAAAAATGGACTTTTTTTCTTTGTTATTAAGGATGTAAAATTAATACTTTATAGGTTAATGGTAGAGAAAATTAGTAAAGCACTAAATTGAAATATGTTTGATTAGCAACTTTGGTTATATAATTCTTACATTAGTAAAATATAAATCGGTTATTGACTGGCCTATATTGCCTAAATTGGATTATTACATTTCGTACAAACCGAAAATTCCAAATCTGATTTATCACTGATTGAAGACCTGAATAGAGATTTTATAGAGATTTTTTTTTCTTTTTGTAATTTAAGTATTCTTGATAAGAACAATTTGCTGCAGTTCTATTAACATTTATTTCTATAAAATCTCTTATCATTAATTCATTAGTTCACAAAGCAAAAGGAAACACATCACATGTCATATATAACTTAGCCGTTTAATATGATTACAGTTTGGTACTAATGGGTAGGTACCAACGAATGGAATGCAATTACATTCAAATATTATGGATGTATTTTTGTTTATATCAGCAATTTCCTAAGAAATAATGATTTATATCAGCAATTTGCTAAGAAATAATGATTAAGTAACTTATTTAATTTCAATAACATTCGACACTTTCAGGCTTATCTTGCGCAATATAAGTTGGACATTTTATTAAAATATATTGAGGAAACTCACTTAATCATGAAGTTGAGCAAGTTTTCGAAACGTTTGGATGGACAGCACAACAAGAAAGTTGATTCTACTTATGAGTTCCGGGTAGAGCATTTACTTCGCACAAAAGATTCCTCGAATGAATCTCAAAACATTTTTGAATCCGGTTTGTTAAAGTTCATTTCATATTTATTTTAATACGGATTTTAACTTATTTTTGAAAATATAAATATACATAATATAATCAAAATCCAGGAATAACTAATCATGATTAGTATTTAAATCATGATTACTTGAAATTTCCACATTTTTACGGAGCAGCTTTACGATTTCCATGATTATAGGGATATTTCATTTATTTTTTATGATTTTAAGAAATATTCTCGCTGAACATTCGTTTTCGGATGGTCAAATTTTTATGGAATGAAATTTCAGCTTGTTCAACTAGTCAACCACTGGTTGAGGAGCGAACAATTGCATCTGCATTGTGTGCATTCCAACAGTTTTTACAAATGCTAATGCTGAATTATAAGGATGGTAGATTAATAGTAGAATGTTCCTCCGGGAAGGATGAAGCCAGGTAATGATTTCTTTCTTTTCCTTTTTTTGAACATGTCGTTTTGCTTGATTTATCTTGATTTATTTATTCCTTAAGTTTTATTCTTTATTACTTTAAATTCTCGAGTTCTGGATAATTATTGTTTCCTTGGATAATGTCTCGTATTCAGAGTTTTTTTGTTTTATCGCCCAAACTATTACCATAGCTGTTGTCGAGATATGTGCTTTCCATTAAGATAAATAGATATTATAATTCAGATTTTCAAGCAGTTTTATCTATCAGTTGCTAAATTGTTAATTTCCGTGCATCTTTCAGTCAGATTTATTAGATAGCATTCTAAATCTAGCAATTCATTGATTACAGTGGAGTGTCATTTAATAAATTTCATTTTAATGATTTGCAGAATAAGTTATTATCTTATCAATCCAGCTTCTCAACTCGGTGATATAATTAAACAGTGCAGATCTTTAATATTAATTGGTGGTACTATGGAACCGTCAGAAATCTTGATACGCTCACTTACCATGTGTTGCAAAGTTCGTTGATTTGCTAGAAATGGTTTGCGCAATCTAGAAATAAATCACTTGTTGTTTTCGATGAATTGTTATACTTTAGTTTTAATTAAACGCTGTGTTCTAAATTTTTAGGTTGACCCAAGCAAGGATCTTATCCGCCGTTCTTTTGGACATGTGATAAAGGATAATCAGTTATTGGCTCTAACAATAAGTTTGCATTTTTTAGCATATATATACATATATACTTTGTTTATTGCGTATTATTGAGGAAGCTGTTATTCAAGAAATCCTTTTTGAATCTAAGTAGCAAAGATTCATTTTGAAATTAAGCCTAAGTATTGGATGAAATCATCTGATTCATGTAAGTTGTGAATTATTACTGAGTGCAGAATTGATTATGCAGTATCGGTTATAAGTTGTAGTTTTAATCTAGAGAAAAAAATTTTTTAAATCTTTATTCTGTTAGGATCGATTATTTTAATCTCTTTACTTTTGTACTTTTTGGTATGTCGCAGTAAGGAGCGCAGTGTGCTTTGACTATTTGAGCACCAAACATTTAATAATGCTTAAAAATTGACTTTATAATACTTTTAGTGCTTTTTTTACAATTATTTTTGTATTATTGCAGCAAATGTATCTAATATGAAATTGATATTTACACATGGTAAACGAGAAACTCAAGCAATCCTAAATCTTTTGGTAATGACATTAGAACGGATTGCCGGAGCAGTTCCAAATGGAATGATCGTATTCTTTCCAAGCTATGCCTATTTGGAAGAATTTATTAAAAAAACAACTATACATGCTTTACGGGTAATCGAATATGTTTTTTTCACTACATGAATAAGAAAAGTTACCTGAATTGTCTTTCGAACTTCCGACTACTGTGCTATGCTATCTTTTAAATTATTCATGATTATGGGATTTAAATTTAGATTTTTTTTTTTTTTTTTGAAATGATTAGAAAATTAATCAAAACATTTTGTATATTCGGATTTTTTTTTTTTTTTTTCATTTTCCTAAAGAATATTATGGAATTTTCAGAAGGCTAAACCATTATTCATTGAACGGCGAAACAGTTTCTCTGGCTTGTTTAATGAATTTGCAAAGTTAGCTCGAACTGTAAAAGGTGCTTTATTGTTAGCTGTAGTTGGTGGAAAATTAAGTGAAGGTTTATTTTTTATATTTTTTACTTTTTTCCTAAATGTGTTATTTCTGATTAAAATTCAAGTAGACATATTAATGTCAATTTGTAAAGATATACTGCTTTCAGCTAAACTCTGCATATTTTTAGTTTAGAAAATTAATGCTTAATGTTCATTATTTTTGAATATTATCTCTGATAAATCTTGTATATCAGATATATCAGCATTATCAACAGAACTGCAAGCTGATTTTTCTACGAAGAATATAATATATAGGGTGAAGATAATCACAATTCATTTTCAGGAATTAATTTTTCGGATGAATTGGGACGTACAGTTGTTGTCATTGGATTACCATATATGAATAATCAGAATATTATTGTAAAAGAGAAAATGAAAGTATTTTTTATGATTTTATATAGTCTTTGTAGGATGATGTAATTATATGGGAGCAATGAGAGAGAAAGTAAAGTGAAATTTATTTGAAAGCATGAAATTAAATAAGGCAAGTGACAGATTTCTGTTAAAACGTTGTCAATCAATCGATTAATCGTGTAATCTACCACTGTAACAGTTAGTAGCAATTGGATTGATTGATTTAAAATGTAATGCTAAATGAATTTTAATGTTTACAATCAAAAATTGTTCGTATATCTTAATAATGGAATATAAAGCTGGGAATAATGCATTTTTATGCTGAAAAAAAAAGAAAAAAAAAAAGTGAATCTGATGCTAAGTTCTTTTTCAATGAGTGAAATTCTGAATTTGATATTTTATTCTGATAAATTGATAATAGAATTAAAATTTAGTTTATGCAAAGTGAATTTGGTCCAAACAGTGATACTGAGTATTATGAATCGAAATGCATGCATGCTATCAATCAATCCATTGGTCGTGTAATCCGCCATTGTAACGATTATGCAGCAATTGTGTTGATTGATTTAAGGTATAAAAGTGAACGAATTTTGAGAGTAAGTAATTATACTTTTCACTTATTTTTGAGCAAATCATTTTTTTTTTTTATTTTTAATTGATCAAATTTCGGTAATTTCATGCTGTAAACAAAAACTCTCACTAGAGAAGACTAGGATAAATGGAATTCATGAGTGAAATATTTTGATAAAGGAAGTTGTGCATCTTTCAGTTCAGTTATATTTATGGAATAGTTAAAGTCAGCATTGCTCATAATTTTAGTAGTTATAATTTTTGTCGAAATAAAAAAGCTGAAATATTACTTACATTTATTGAATATATTATCACTCAGTAATGTTGAAGTTTTGCAGGATCTTCCAGCATGGATTAAACCTCGACTGTATAATGCAAATAATTTAGATGATGGAATACAACATTTACAAAGATTCTTCAAAAGTATGGACAATTCCATACAAAAGTAATGCACAAATAATTTTTTTTTTTTTTTTTAATATTTTAGCTATGTAAATAAATTAATTTTTCTCATATTTCATGCATAAGTATTTCATTTCAGGAAGATTCTCGACAAATAAATGGTTAAATTTTCACCTCTCAAATTTTAGGATCAACTAATCCATTTGATATTTTTGAAGTGGTTTCTAAATGTGATTTTATGCTCTCAGTTGACCTAAACGAATGATATTATATATTGTGAAATATTTTAATTTCATTCTATTCTATCATTTCCATCTCATTACTTTTATTCAAGGTGCTTAAAAATTGATACGGGCGTAGTTTTATTTATGCATCATGTTTGTTAATCTGTTTCTTTTTCATGATTTTTGTATGCATTTGTTCAATTTCTCATTAGAAATAAAAATGTGTTCAAAAAGCTTTAGCAAATGATTTTTTTTTCTTTTGAAGGAAAAGATTTAAATAGCCAGTTAATCTTTATTTGAAAGCGTGTATGCTTTTCACCATAACATTTTGTAAATTCAGCAAATTCACGGTTGATTTCAAATAGAGAGAGAGAGAGAGAGAGAGAGAGAAAAGAAGATTGAGATGACGGTGGTAAGTGATGCGGGAAGGAACAAGTTTTGTTGATGCTCTTCACCCCGACACTGAAATATCCTTATAGTTGTGGTGTTAATTGAATTTCTACTAATGTAAGTGAAATGGTGAAAGAGAGAGAGAGAGAGAGTGATAATTCACTGATCAAAGGAAAGGTTGAAAAGTTTTTGGTTAATTGATAATGGTTCGATTTCATAAATCTTGAAAGAATAATTGGGATGCCAATTATGTACGATGTTTAATAAACATATTTTTCATTTATATACTATTAATGATAACAAAAAGTTGCTAAATGATAATAATGATAATAATAACAGTAATAATAAAGTGATTATGAGATTGGTTATTATATTATACTAAAAGCTTTTTTGTAAGTTGTATCAAAGATGATAGATATTATTTAGGTTTAATGATTACTAAAGTAAGTTAAATCTACAGCTATTCAGATGGAAGTGTAAAAATTTTTAAATTTATTCCTTGATGTTATAAAGCAGTGGTATTTTAATTAATATTATAATCTATTGAATGCTATTCAGTTAAAATAGCATTAAATTATTTATATCATTGAAGTTAGATAAACTTATCATTGATAAGTTTTTGCTTAACTTATCATTTTTGCTGATGATTTATTACTGTATTATAGTATTATGATATTCATTTATCACATACAGATGGTTTAAGATTTAATTTTTGTTGAAATCCTGATAAATTTTTAAAATTTGATCCAAATATTTTGTTTAAAATGCAACGTTTTAACAAATATAGTTAGCACAATGATCTGTAATTAGGGAATTAATTACTGATAAAAGATGATATAAAATAGTAAGTGATAATTAGTTATAAAACATTTGAAAATTTTAATATTTATTCAATTTTGAAGAAGCAACAACATTTTAGTGAAGAAGAAAGCAGAAAAAAGTAATGAAAATTGTTTATTTTAGTAGAATAAGTTTCGAAATAATCAAAAATCATTTTGGGATTAAATAATTTTTTTAAAAAAAAATTTTAATTTAAAAATTTATAAACTTTAAAAAATATATCATAACTTTCAAAAAAAAAAAAAAAAAAACAAATAAATAATGTTAAAAAATTAATTATGTGCAAATAATTTTAGCAATTGATTAAAAATTACAAATTTAAAAAAAAAAAAAAAAAAAAAGAGAATGGACTAATTATTGGAATATTTAATTGATTAATTAAATGGAATGCAAAAACTTTTAAAATGAAAGTTATAATTTAACTAAATGAAATGAATTTAAACTAAATGAACAGATTAAAGGTCAAACATATAAAATGGCTGATTATCATGGCAAATATAACTGATGTTTGGATAAGGCTACTACTATTCCATTCTTGTCTTATAATAAATGATATATAATTAATTTTCATGCATAGACTAAGAAAAGATAGGAGAGAGAGAGAGAGAGAGAGAGGGAGAGAGGGAGGGAAAAAAAAAAGATGAATTTTGACTTTTTTATAGTGTAATGTAAAATATTTGTATAATTGAATTTGATGAAATGACCTTGTCTAATTTCGGGATGAACGACAAGAAAATGAAATGGGGAGGGGGACACAAGGGACAGGGGGGACAGAGGGGACAGAGGTGAAATAGAAAGAGGTATGAAGTAAATGAAAAAGGGGGACAGATCGGGTTGAAAAGGCGGAAGGTTTTATTTCTTCATTCACTCTTTTCATCCATACATCAACAATAAATGCTTTCAAGTTGAAATTTCAATTTCAAAGAAACAGCGCATTGTTTCGCATAATTTCCTTTTTCTATCATTATTGAAATGATATCAAATTTTCGGAAATTTCACACTGTTTCTTTTATAGAGCAAATATATTTATCAATTGCTTTTCTAACATTCCATTGAAACAAGTTTAACTGATAATGATAAGTTTGACAATTTATAGAGCGAAAATTTTTCATAAGTATGGGTATTGTTTTTATTATCAGATTTAGTTATAAATATTATCCATTATTTGTTTTCGAAATTAATCATTTAATTATCATTTGTTTTCTTTCTTTCTTTATTTATTTACTTTTTTTTTTTTTTTTATTTTTTTTTGGGAGAGGAGAGAGATTTTAATAAATGAAAAATTAAATTATGGATTTATGTTAACAAATTGACAAAAAAAAAAAAAAAAAAGAAGAAGAAGAAAAAATAAATCATTTATGCATTTTAATTGAATTTAATACTTTTAGTCATCGTTTATCGTTCAAATCGTTCAATTTTTTTTTCGTCGTTTAATTTTGATACATAAAAGTTAATTTATTTAGATTTTATTTAAAAAAAATAAATAAATAAATGAGTAAATATAACATTGCTTGTAAAACATTATTTTTCAAATTCTTTTGTTTTTATATTTTATTTCATTTTTATATTTCAATGTTCTAAAATTAATGTTTGCATTGAAATATTAAAAATTTTTTTGTGTTATGTACATGCAAATATATATAAATACCAAATAAATAAGAAAAATTGAGAAGTAGAATTTTTAGTTTTCAAACTTTTTCTAAAATAATAATAATATAATCTTTAAATTAATTATTTTATTCGCTTTTAAACTATTAATTAAACAAGCAGTACAAGTTGTTATACATAAGTAATTGTTTTATTATATTTAATAAATTATTAGAGTATTTAGGACAATTTGTAAGAATAATTTCTAAATTATACTAACAAATTAGATTTAAATATTAAGAATTGATTTAATCACTAATTAGAAAAATAAAATTGTATAGTATATTTAATTTTTTAGTATACTTAATCACTAAAAATATACTTAATTAGATATTAATATATTGTATAGTAATATACTTAATTGCTTATTATACTTATTTACTAAAAAGTACTCAATTAGAATTAGAAGAATATAGTCATATAGTATACTTAATTACTAAAAATACTTAGTTATATAGTATAACTTAATCCCTAATATATTTAATCAGATGAATATACTTATATAGTGTACTTAATTGCTTAAAAAACTAAAAAAATTAAAAAATAATTATTAGGTGTATTTATTTAATTACTAATATATTTAATCATTAAAAATACTTAATCAGACGAATATACTTATATGGCGTACTTAATCACTTAATATACTTAATTAGACGAGTATACTTATACAGTATACTTAATTACTTAAAAAACTAGAAAAATTAAAAAATAATTATTTAGTGTATATTAGTTACTAGTATACTAATTTATTAAAAATACTTAATCGGATGAATATGCTTATACAGTATACTTAATTACTAAAATTACTTAATTAGACGAATATACTTACATAGTATACTTAACTACTAAAAGTACTTAATAAGATGAATGTACTTACGTAGTATACTTAATTACTAAAAATACCTAATTAAACGAATATATTTACATAGTATACTTACTAAAAATACTAAATTAGACGATTATACTTATGTAGTATACTTAATTACTAAAATACTTGATTAGACGAATATACTTATATATTATACTTAATCACTTAATACAATTACTAAAAATACTTAATTAGACGATTATACTTATATAGTATGCTTAATTACTAAAATACTTAATAAGACGAATATACTTGTATATTATACTTAATCACTTAATACAATTAATTACTAAAAATACTTAATTAGACAAATTTAGTATGATGTTGCGATTTAATAGTATAACAATGTCAGGGTCATCATTGTCCATCCGTTGCAGTGAGCAGTATTCATTTCTATTCTAAAATCATGATTGTTTAAATTAATTACTTTTTTCTTTCTTATCGATATTTAATCGAAATCATTTAGTATTGTTGAAAAAGTTTTTTTTTTTTGGAATAAAAGATAAAAATCAATTTTGTATTACTAATAATATAATAGATATTATTTAATTTCAAAATTAACAATATTATTCAATTCATTTTACTTATGTATATGTAAATGTTTTAAAAAAAAAAAAGAAAGTAATATATGTTTCAATAAAAAAAAAATACCATAAAAAAATTTATTTTAATTAAAAAAAAAAAGACGAATTTATTTTTGCACTAATTTATTTTTATCTTTCAAAATACTACAAAAAATAAATGCTAATTCAAAAAAGAAGAAAATTCATTGATGTAATTTATTAATACATTATTATCAAAATAAATATTATTATCATTTTTATCATTTATTAATTTACAAATAAACGAATTATTTGTTAATAAATCCTTGAAATTATCCGTTTAAAATTGTATCAGATTAATTTATCGCTATCATTTGTTGACAAATCCATATTGCAACGTTGAAAAACTTGTTTTTCAAGTTAAGAATGAATGAAAGAGAAATTTACAAATTGGAATATTAAAAGATGGCAAACTAAAGAAGAACAAGAAGAAAAAAAAAAAAAAAAGGCAATTTAACTATAATTTATGCAAATAGGTAATTATTGTTAGCATTTCTACAGTTTACCGATTATTATCAGCATTATTCCTGATCAATTGGAACCAGTTGAAATTATTCATTTTACCATTTTCCGGATCATCAATTTGTTGGCTCAATGATTTACATTTCGATTCGCTACAATTATTTATTATTTATTGTGGAATTTGAATGTTCCTAAAAATACAAATGAAACTTTCACTGTTTCGTTCATGATTAAATTTCTAACAAAATATGAAAAGAAAAAAGAAAAAGAATTTTTTTTTCTTTTTTTTTTTTTGAAAAATTAAATTAATTGTTTTGAAATTAATTAGCTAATTTTATTTGTTATATTTGATTAAATATTTAAAAAGAATTAAACATTTCAGTTTATTTTCAATTTTTAGATTTTCAAAAAATTTTTATATTAATAGGGGTGATGTAAAAAAAAAAAAAAAAATTGCATATGTCATTTTATCTCAAAAATTTCAAATTAATTATCAATTTCGTAGCAAATTAACACCGCATATTTGTGTAAAAATTTTAATTTAAATTTTAATTCACAGTTTATAAAATTATGATACTTTGCTTTTTTTTTTAATTATGATTGTAAAATGAAACGAAATTTTAAAGATGTTAGTAGTTTGTTTGAAATTATTTCACCAATAATTTAAAATTGTTTGTTTAATTAAAGTAATTATTATTATTATTATTATTATTATTATTATTATTATTATTATTATTATTTATTTATTTATTTATTTAATGCTAAACATTTTTTTTCTTTCGTTTTTTCCTTTCAAACAAATATTTAATATATTAATACTGTAAATGATTTAATATATATTATCATATTATCACATAGTATTCCAAGCATGAATGACCAGTTCTATTCATCATTGTCACATCTTATCAGTGTCAACTTTTTTTAAGAAAATTTTTTTCATAATTTTTGTTGTTTATTATTATTATTGTTTTTGATTTGTGTGTATTTTTTGTGATTGTAATGAACTTTTTTTTTAAAATATTATTTATTATTTTGCTTAAAAATTGAATTTCTATCAATAATAATAGATTTATCAAATCGTATGAAAATAAAATATGAATAAAATTTGATACTATGAAATTGAAATCTTTTAAATTTTATTTATTTATTTTTTTATTTTTTATAGGAAAATATTTGATAGTTGAATTTACAATAAGCAACGTATGAATTATGAACATTTTGGTAAGCTATTGTTTGAATTAATTGAAATTAAAGGAAGAATAATTTTGCAAATTTTAAATATAATCAATATGAATATTTGGTGAAATTATCAGCTTATCATAATCATTTTAGATATCACTACTTCTTCCAATATTATCATCGTATCCGGTGATTATCAGTGCCATACAGCAACAGAATTCACCTGGCAGGCCAATTCCATTATTTTTACAATGTGGAAATTATATGTTTAATAATGAAACTTTAGGAAGGTAAATTATTTAATTTTTAAAACAGATTTGAAAAATTTTTAAAAAAAAAAAAAGAAATTTTCCAATAAAAATAATTTAATTTTGTTAAAATATCTAAGCTAATTAATGAATAATAAATATATATATATATCTACTGTTTACTATTTGCTTCTATATTTTTCTTTCTTATATTTGCAGAGTTGATTCAATTGATTATAATCCACTTTTACGATCAGATGGACATTTCGGCTATCCGGGCCTTAAAATACGATTCAACAGGAATGCATTCAGTTATGGTAGTTCAATAATTGCTCAAATGTTAAATCAACAAATACGAAATATTCGAATACCATCATTCACTCAATGTCTACCGGAAGTATGCTAATATTTCATTTTTTTTTTTTCTAATTTGACATAAATTTAAAATAAAGTTAAAATAATATCATAATGTTATGAATAAGTTATACTGATAACGCGAACGAGATTATCATTAATATATAATTCAGGACAGATTCCTAAACTAATTAATTAATTAATTGCTCCATTCTCGAACTATTAATTTCTTCCATTTCTAAATTTTCAATTAAAAATATTTTTTCTTTCATTATGGTGACAAATAATAATAATGCATAAGTTTATATATGTTTCTTTTTTTTTTTAATTAACTAATTAATTACCAGAATAAAATATTTTACAAATATTTTTTTAGGTTAATGGATGCGCCTATCTTACAAATATTTTGGTGACAAATTATCAGTGTGCTCAACGTGTCGCATTATTTCCAATTTCACATAATGAAATTGCTCTTAATATTCAAAATTTTGACCTAAGGTTATTCTACTGTTTGATAATTAATAAAAAAGAAAATTAAGAGGAATAGAACAAAAATGAAATGAAATTTTGAAAAAAAAAAATAATAAGATTATCATTACTTATTCTATGCTTCACAATGTGCTTAAAATATCTAAGTATTTTTTATTTAAGTTTTTATTAATCATTATCTTTTTAAATTTTATCATTCCTCAATTTATAATTAAATTTGTTTGAAGTAATTTGACAAAACTTTTTCAACATTTTAGGATCATTTGCATGAAAGTTTTCGACCTTTTTTCTTTATTTAGTTAAAGTGAAAAAATTTTTTGCAATATATTTTATTTGAGATTAGAATTCAATGCAGGATGACAAATATGATATCATAATTTTTCGACAACTAAATAAAATAATTTATTCATATATTTTTCTAAAATAATTTTTCTTTCCCCAAATTTTAATTTAATCAAAATTTTGTGCTATAAAATTAAATGATAAATTATTATTGATAAAAATTTGTCTTTTTTTTTTTTTGAGCATTTAACTACTAAAATAATTTTTGCATCATATTAAATATTTTGCAATATTACTTTCCTTTTTTGTATTTTTCTCTTTATTTTTTTTTTTTTTTTTTAAAAATTTTGATTAAATTATATTGTTTGATTGAAAATTTTAGTCTAAGTGGACAACTTGGTGGACAAATTGTTGTTTTATTACCTTTACCACTTTGTGGAACATTGTGCATCGATGCTAGACAGGTTTCTTTTTTTTTTTCCACTTTTCTTTATCAATTAATTTATTAATTTACAAAAAAAAAAACTTTTTCAAAAGTTAAAAAAATAAAAAAAAATTTAATAATTAGATGGAAAAGAAGCGCAAAATGAATTTGATAATTTACAGATATCAGTATCACTACAATTAGCAATTGAACGAAATGTGTACAATAGCGCCGCATATATTCGTATGACAAAATGTTCATTAACAATTGGTTATTTAAATATACATATTGTTAATGGTGGATTAATTGGTGAAGTTATTAATAACAATTTTCGGGTAAATTTTTATTTTTTGTTAGTAAAAAATTAAAATTGTAAAATTTTAAATTTATAATTTTCTTTTTTGTTGTTTAATTTATTATTAAGATAGAAAATATTTAATGAATAATTTGCTATATTATTAAAATGATAAGAAAAAAAAGGAGGTGGATATGATTAAATTCGATTGATTAATTAATTAATTAATTGATTAATCAATTGTCATAGACGAAATTAAATATTTTAAATTATTTTGTTATCATTTTTTAAATGGTTGCATTTTTTTCACTTTATTTTACTAAATAATTAATTTCCTATATTAATGAATAATAATTAATTGCAATATATAATAATAAATAGAAAATTTTTAATTTTAGTATATAATTCAATTGAAAATTTTTCTATGATTTTTAATTAGTAATTAATTGATTTAATGAAAAAAAAAAACTTTTGACTGTATGAATTTGTTATTAATTTTTTTTTTTAAATGATAGTTTTTCTCTTCTTTTTATTATTAATAATTGAAATTGCTTTCTAATTAATAATAAATAAATAATAGTAATAAATAATCGAGAAATTGTTTTGAAAGATTTCATTATTTTTTAATGTCAATAATTTTTTTTTTTTTTTTAAGTTTTGAAATTTTTAGAATAAAATTTTATCACAAGCATATGCAGCATTGCCAGAAAAATTTTGCAATATGATACAACCATTGATTGATGAGCATATAAATTCTCGACTAATTAATATGCCACAAAGGATTCCAATTTCACAAATGATTTCATATGCATCATTCCTGATCAATAAACCGAAAAAGCTACCGGAATACGTAAGTGCAATTTGCTTTTTCCTTTTCTGTTAATACAAAAAATTTCGAGAAATTATTCGAGAATTTTTAACAGCAAATTAAATCCCGAATAATTTTTTTTTTTTGTTACTTCCGGGTAGAGTAATATGAAAGTAAAGAATATTTAAGGTAAATTATTGTTAAAAGTTCATTTGTCTTTGGTAAATTTCAATTATTAAATTTCATGAAAGTTATTTAAGCTTAAACGTATTAGAATCAAATCATTTGTATAATAATTTAAACTTCAAAATTTTTGCTAAATATTAATAATATTCAACTATAAAGAGCATATTTTTGTTAAGTATCTGATCGATATGAGAAAATGGCCTAGTTAGCCTAGCAATCATTTAATCATTAATCTAGTAAAACAATGAAAAATATCCTAATATTTTTAGTTTAATAATATATTTTTAATTTTTTATCTGTTAATGTTATTAATTTAAATTAAATTTATTTCTTTCATTTTAGTGCTATTCTGAAATTTGCAAACGCTATCAGTCCACCAATATATCATTAGCTAACAAAAAGCTTAAAACAAAAGCAATCCATTCAGCTGGTGTATCAAACATTGATAATTTTGATCAGAAAGTAATTGGCAGTAATAAACCGTTAATGAAATCAGAAGAAATGAGTGGTAGTAATAATACAATACCGGAAATTATTAAATTACCGAATGTAACAGATCAAAGATTATTGATACCTGAAACAACAATTGAGAAATTTCCTCGAAAGATTCAAAAGAATTGGCAGATTAGAAGATGGCAAAGAGCGAAAAGAAATGTAAGTGATAACAATAATAATAATAATAACAATGATAATAATAAAAAATAATAATAGTAATAATAGCTGTAATAATATTAATAATAATAATACTAGCAATGGTAATAATAATAATAACAACAACAATGTTAATAACAATGAAATATTAATGAAATGAGAAATATCACTCGAAATGATGTAGAAATTTTGATTGAATGAAAAGAAATGTAATTGAAATAATTAAAAATTTTATAAAAAAATTATGAATGAAATTTATGAGTTTATTTAATAAATTTTTTTTTTTTATTTTTGTTAAAAGAAAAAAAAAAATTGCTTAAAAAAAAAAAGAAAGAAAAAAACAATAATTGTAGAGTGGAATAATAAATGTAAACAATAATATTTGGCAACAATGTGCCAATTGTGATTATGAGAAAAGTGAGATAATATCATATTATTATGATACTGTTATCAATCATATTCAGGTATATTTTATTCTTGTCAAAAAATTTATTAATTTGAAAAAAAAAAATTTTTTTTTTTTGTTTGTTTTCAAATATATGAAATAATTTTCGAAAAAAAAATGACAAAGTAAAAAACAATTTTGAAAATAGTTAACTTTTCTTTTTTTTAATTTTTGATACTGAAAAAAAAAAAATTTGATAGAATTTAATTATAATATTTCTAGATTTAATTTAGTTAAGATTGAGTATAATTATTTGCTATTGTAGTAATATTTTAACAATAACAATAAGTTAAGTTAATAAATTTTATGAAAATAATTTTTGTTTACAATTTGCAATAACCATGTAAATTACTAATCGATTATTTCAGAATTGTGCTTCGGATTTAGTTTTAGCAACGCATTTTCTTGGTTCATCAGCAACAAACTCTGACTTAACTCTAAATTTCCTTGAAGAAATTAGTCCAAATGCGCGTGGTGGTACACCATTTGCGCCACCTATATTACAATATCCTGTATCAGATAGTGGACAAATGATTGATCTCCTTATCAGTGATTATACACTCAATACATTACTCTATCATTTTCATAGGTTTGTTATTTTTCCTTTTCAATATAAATTATAAATTTACTGATAAGCATACATACTTATGATAAAAGATATGAAATGAAATTGATACACATTACATACTTTTATTGATAATAATAAAAAAAATTTACTTTTCATTTTTTTTTTTTTGTTTTTTATCAACAAAATTTACGAATAATTTTGTGATAAAAAAAAGGAATGAAAATGTAATCTTTTTAGGAAAGGTATTTTTGCATTTCGAATTGGTCCTGAAATACCAGTTATTGGTGATTTATTAAATTTAACATGCACAGCAGAAGATATCGATTTCGATTTAAGTCTTGAATTACAGGATAATAAGGTATGCAAAAAAAAAAAAAAAAAAAATTAATAAAATTTAAAAATTAATAATCATCCATTAAATTTATGAATTTAGCAAATGAAATATAAAGTAGTATATCAATGGATATCATAGCTTTTCAACAAAAATTTAAAAATTAAATCAGTATTTCAGGGTTAATCAGGATTTTTAATTTTGAAATTGATAAGCTGAAAATTTAGTTATGTTAATAAATTAATTGCCAAATAAAATATTACTGGTAATAAAAGAGTATCATATGAGCAAAAGTAAATTAATTGCTAATAAAATTCAAAAGCTAATAATCATCCATTAAATTTATGAATTTAATAAATAAAATGTAAAGTTGAATAAATTAAAGATGCAAAGTTGAATACTTAATAATTGACTCATTAATAAAATACATTTAAAATATAATTAGCAATAGGATCCATTGGTAAATCGTTTTAAATTAAGCAGAAATGAAAATTTATAAAGGCTTAAAATTAGCATTTGAAAAGAAATTTATAAAATTTTAAAGTTTTATTTTTATTTCTTTCTTATATTTGAATTTTTTCTTTTTTTTTTGCTTATAAAGTATATTTCTATATAAGTTAATTTAGGATTTCGCAAATGAGACAGCATCAAATGAAACGAATTCGCAAACGAAATCGCAAGATAATCGTAAGAAACGACATACAGCAATGGATACTTTAATCAATTTTGGTATATGTCTAGGTGATATTGCACCCGGAATTCGTGAAAGAAATCCCGGAAAACGAACTTATATTATAATCAAAACAAATCGAGCACCATCTGTGCTATTTCAAAATGCTAATAAAGGTTAATTTTTTGAAAATTTATCAAAATTTGATAAAAAAAAAGAGATATAATAATTTTATTATTATACAATTAATTTAAAAAAAAAAAAAACTATTAAATTTTAAAATTATTTAATAAAACTAAAAATTTTTATTAATATTACAGGTACTATTGTAATTGAATTTATAATAGATGGGCTTATTTTTTTGGATGGTACCAATATAAAAGTTGGCCATTTACAAATTAGGACTGTTTCTGCAATAGTGGCCCAGCTTATAGCTAATCGAATTGTTGCCAAAGTACAAATTGAACGGATGGAATTTATTGATATTGATAAAACATTTGGCTTACCATCTGAAGCATTCACTAATCTTTCTGATTTAGCCCGAGGAATTCTTACTAGGGTAAGAATTTTACAATTTTTTTTTTTTGCAAAATGGGTAACTTTTTTATATAAATATTTTCTTACAAGAAAAATTTTGTTTTCCACAGAAAACAAAACAAAAAAAAAAAAAAAATCTAATACATTTTATTTTTTTATTTTTGTTTATTCCATTTTAATTCATTTAATTTTGCTCTATGTTATAATTTTTATATATTTATCAATAAAATTAATTTAAAAAAAAAAAAAAAACGAATAATTTTTATTATATTATAAAATATTTGGTATAATTGTTATAAAACTTTGTTATTATTAATTTTTTTCTTTTTTTTCTCAATAACCACAAAATTTTTATATCAAAAATTTATTGTATTATAATTAATTTGTTATTTGCGTATACATACATTTGAAATAGAAAAAAAAAAAAGAGAGAAAAAAATTAATTCATAAAATTTAAATTTAATCAATTTTTTTTTTTTTTTTCAGGCAATAAATAAAAAATTAGCAAATGGTATTCCATTAACAATGCCACAATTAGGCTTACCAATTCAATTTTCTAATCTTCATTTTCAAGTGATCGAACATGCTTTATTAATTTCCACCGATGTTAGCATTCCATCTTTGACATATTATTTACCATATCAAAGGTTTACCGGATGTCCTTACTATTATCAAATATCATAACTTTAAATATAAACAAAGCCAAGAAAAAAAAAAAAAAAAAAAAACCAAAAAAAAAAAAAAAGAAAATCGTTTATTGTAATAAAATTTTAATACTACAAAATTTTTTAAATTTAAATTTTTTATTTCGGTTGAAAAAAGCAACTAACTGAAGCAATAAATATATGTTTTAATAAAAAATAAAAAAAAAAAAATAAAAACTCTTACATATTTTTAGATTTTTTCTTTTCTCAAATTTTAACATTTATTCTTTGATTTGCTAAAATTAAAAAAAAAAAAAAAAAAAATATTTGTTGCTTTAAAAAATTGAAAGGATAAAATGCTATTGAATAATTAATTGTCATTATTTGTTATGTGGAAATTATTTCACTCATTTTTATAGAATTATTTGAATTAAGTCATTTCAAATTCTACCTCATTTAATTAATGAATGCTTTTTTTTTTATTTTATTGAATTAATTAGTGAAATGTTATATGCAAATTTAAATTGTATTCTTTACAATATATTTGTTTTTTTTTTTTTTTTTTTTGTTTTGATTCATTTTGAATGTTTGTGTATTATAATTTTTTTCAAAAAAGAAAAAATCATTTTGTTAAAAAAAAAAAAAAAAGATTGTTGCATTTTTGATAATAAAAAATTTTTGGAAAAAAAAAAAAGAAACTTAATAGAAATATTTTGTAAATTTCAATTTTATATTTCATTAACTAATATACATTTGCAATTTTCTTTTATTTGACACAAACACAAATAAATCAATTAAAAGATGATCGTTCCATTTTTGTAAATTTATTTTTGCTAAAATTTGTTTTAAATTTAATCAAATAATTTTGGGTTAATTAAACTTAAAATGCATCTGTTATCTTTTAAAATTTCATGTCAACGAATAAGTTCATTAATTAATTATTTAATTAATCTATAAATCAACTAAGACCATTCTGAAATTATCCTAAGATTATTCGACTTTTTTTTTTTTTTTGGCTCCATCAAACTGGATTTAAAATTTCTGATAGATCGATATAACGTAACATCAATGATTGATCGAACATTTTTCCTTATGATTCTATCATCTATGATCATCCGATCAAATTTGATTTTAATGATTGGTGACATTTGCGATCATTAGATCAAATTTGCATATTGAACCTTTTTTCTTGTTGTTATCTTATTCTTATCAAAATTAAATTCATTTAATTAATTAATTAGTTAATTATAATGACAAATTTGTAAACAAATATTTAAATGAACAAAAATTTATTCAAATTCAAGGCATTATTATTATTATTATTACTGAACAAATACCGGTACAAATGTGACACTGATTTTGTGGATGGCTACGAAATATTTCGATGCAAAAAGAAAGAAATGACTAATTATCGAAATTATTTTCATTTCTACTCCCCTTCCTTTTTTTTTTTTTTTTTTTTTTTTTGAATATTAATCAAATGAATAAGCCATTTCAATCATTTCCGGAAAGACATATCAGGAAAAGAAAGAAGAATTTAAAAAAGTACTATCCGGTTCATTATTATCAGTGAAAATGATTATGATAAAGATTTTTTTTTTCTTGTTTTTAAACTAATAACTATTTAAACGATAATTTTTTTTTAATAAAGAAAAAGAAAAAAAGGAAAGAATAATAATCTCAGTCCAATTAAACAGCTAATAATAAAAAACCAAAAGAAGTCAAAAATATTGAATCAAAATTTTTAAATACTCAAAATTTTACTTACTTACTTACTTAATATGCTTATTTGATAAAAACAGTTCTACTTTGTACATAGAAAAAGAAAAAAAAAAAAAAAGGTAGGAATAAAAGCCGTATAAGTTATATATGTTTACATAATTAAAACTTAATTCCGGCAAATATCACAACCTAAATTGATAATCAATTTACACGTAGCTCAAATGGACTAGAGAAAATTTACACGTGAAACAAGTAAAACTTATTCGTAACTTACATATTGTATACAATCCATATGGAACATTTACAACGCTAAAGATTTAATTAAAATTAACATTTATCTTACATTAACTTTATAATTTAACAATTAAAAAATTAACCAAAAAAAAAAAAAAAAAAAAATTAAGAAAGAAAAAAAAAAAAAGAGAAAGAAGAGAAATAATAATAATAATAATAATTTACAGTAAGACTAGGAATTTTTCCTTGGTTTAATAATAGATCGTATACATGTTGATTCTTCATGTTTTGATAAGTAACTTTTTAACGCAAAACGTTTCCCACAACGTTGACAAACATACGGTTTGATACCTAAAATTAAAATATAAAACTAGAATTAAAATATAAAATAATAATTAAGTGTTAAAAAAAAAAAAAAAATTGACAATAAATATTATAAAATTTTTAAATTACAAAACAATATAATGTATTAATTTGATAAAATTATTGAAATATATCATTTGTTAAGTTTAATTATTTTTAAAAATTACACTATTAAAATTAGAACAATTAAAATATTTTATCAAATTTAATTCTCATAAAAAATTTTATTCTTTTTTTTTTTTTTTTTGTTTCATATTTATTGTCAGAAAATAATCAATGAGTAAACCTTCCTGCAATTAATACTTTTTATTATCTCACTAAATACTACTGTAGCAATATAATGCAAAAAAAAAATATTACAACAATAAAAATAAAATTTTAAAGTGTAACTTTAAACAGATATTAACTTTAGAAATTAAAAAATGATTTCTAATACAAATTAATTATAATTATTATTTGTTAAAGTAAAAGTTGTTAGAAATTTAAACAAAAATATTATTTACAAAAATAAAAATAAAAAATTGCTAAAATAAATTTGCATAAAAATGAAATACTAGAAGAGTACTACTTACCACTATGTGTTTGGACATGAGCGCGTAAGTTACTTTTGTCAGCAAATGCTTTAGTACATATGGGACATTGAAATGGTTTTTCACCAGCTAAAAAATTATTTAAAAAAAAAAAAAAAAAACATTCTACCAATCTTTAAATTTGTTAATTTAATTTAAATTTTTTTAAAAAAAAAAAACAAAAAAGTTAGAAATTTAAGTGATAGTTATAATCTTTTTATTTCAAATCTAAATATAATATTTAATTTATTTACAATAAAACAAACGTTTGAAAAAATTCTTTTAAAAAAAAAAAAATTATTCAAATAATTAATTTAAATGATTAATTTTGCTTTTTCTTTTTGAGTATGTAAAAAATTAAATTCAAAAATTTACTATGTGTTCGCATATGTCCCTGAAGAAGCCAATGTCTTGTGAATGTTTTACCACATACGGAACATTTGCAAGTGTTGACATGTGATGATCGTGTTGAATTACCGTTTCTGGCACTAGCTGAACCGGATCCGGTTATTTTTGATCGATTTGTAGCATTATTTTTGGTATTACTTCTAATAGTAATACAATTGCCACTGCTGCTACTACTACTATTACTAGTTGCATTGAAATTAGCATTTGTGATAAACGATGTATTACTACTACTACTGCATGCAACTGATTGCAGCTGCAGTTGCACTTGTTGTCGATGCCATGCCATATGAATCATTAAATCAGTCGGATTTAAATAAATATTTTTGCATGATGGACACTGCAACGTTGGTCTCAAACATTTGAAAGCTGCAAATTTGATCAATTTTAAATTAAAATAATTATTTTTAAATAATATTTAACTATTACTTATAGTTATAATAATAACAATAATAATGATAAATTAAAAATTATCATTGTTATTTATTTATTTATTTATTTATTGTGAATTAATGTATGAAATAATTATTCATAAATCATTTTCGCTTATATTTTCTACAATACATACATTTAATTTATTAATATACAAATGTAATTATATAAATTTCACTCATAAAAAAGAGAAAACTTGTATAATAATTAATTTCGATTATATTTATAAAAATAATGTTCGTCTCTTTTTTCTATTATATAATTATACTAATATTATAATATAATGATTTTATTTAATACTGAATAAAATAAATGAGTTTTTAAAAGAGATTTTTAGAGTTTGAAGAGTTTTAAAGCATAATTATATGTATATATGAATAAAATAAATAGTAACAAAAAATCCTAATGTAATGCTTTATATTATTACTTAAATTATAACATATAAAATTTATATTATTACCTTAATTAAATTATAACGTATTTTTAGTAATCATTGATCTAATCCATGTTGATTAGTTGAGTAAATACAAGTATTAGTAAAATAAATATTTATATTATTATTATTATTACTTATTACATTTATATATTATATACCATTAAAGTTTATATTCTTGCCTTAATTAAATTATAACATATAAAATTTATATTATTATTTTAATTACGTATAAATTTTAGCGTATAAATTTCACGTAAGATATATTATTTATGCTATAAAGTTAATATCCCTAAATATTAATAATAAATAATATTACAATGTTGTAATAATTTGATGGATATTTGTTAATTCTGGCGATTAATATAAATTCAGATAGTTTTTTTTTTTTAGTAATGATTGATCTAATCCATGTTGATTAGTAGAGTAAATACTATACAGTAGTACTTAACAAACCACTTGACATATATCCCTGGTAAGATTTTCTAGTTATTATTTCCTCTGTTATTTAATAGTAATAATAAAAAAAAAATAAATAAGTATTCTAATCTATCATTATTTTATCATTTACATTTATTTTATTATCACTACATCTAATATTTTAAATTCAAAATATAAAAAGAAAAAAAAAAAAAGAAGAAATTAATTTTTTACCAAAGTTATTGTAAAAGTTTCATTTTTTTTTTTTTTTTTTTTTAAGGCTAAATTATATCTCCTTTTTTCTAAAAAAAAAATTTTTTTAATTTTTCTTTAATTCATTTTAAGTTAATTAAATCGATATGATAATATAAGTTGAAGTGTTTAAAATCAAAAACAGTATAAATAATCAACATATATTTTAATCATTAAAGATTTTTTTTTACTATTCAAATTTTAAAAAAA